AATTACATAACAATCTTAATACATATTTATATAATTTTTCCAGCTATTTATTACTTAAACTGCTTCACCAGAACAAACGAAATCTGGTTAAATTTAGGACTCCCTGGCACACAGCAAGTATTCAATAAATGTTACATTCTATCTTGCTTATTATCAAGAGTGAAAATTTAGATATTACGACATGTGGAGGACAATCACTTAGTCACTGACAACTGTGTAAAGTCTTTCCTAAATCTTTCTGTATGTTAAAACAAAGTTTTGACAGAACTGTCCACCAGGGATCAAACACTCTGTGTTATCTTTAGAGTTGGAACACTTTTATAATATAAAAGTGGTTTAATTCATTAACAACAAAACCCCTAAAATATCCAAATCAATAATAGTAAAAATGGTCTTAAAAGTGATACACTGCTCATTCAGCATTATTCTTAAGTTATGTAATTTTTAAAATAATGCAGCACTTACATAAAAATAAGTCAACGAAAACAAGGACTAAATCATGTGTAAACCACAGTACACATAAAAACTTAATAAATGATGAAATGGTTATCATTAATCATCAAGAAAGAAATGGAGTCACTGATAGCAGGATAATTAACTTCAGACAATAGTGGGAAATCAAGTAAAAGCCTCATCTTGTATCCTATACCACAATAAATTCAATCAAGGCTGAAAAGTTTGTTGATATCCTGATGGGGGGAAAAGCCGAACTGTAAGTCATTTCTACTTAATCATGGGCTGCTTATTGTTTTGCTATATGAAGTATTTACAAATCACAAGTATCTAATAGAGGATGACAAAACAAAAAAAATCTTAAAGTTTAGGAGTTAAAGAGATCACATTACAATGAAGATTAAACTGAATACTGCTACTCATAAAACCTGACTAACAATTCAGCAGTATGCTTACCATGGCAAGTGCATAAATGAGACTACTTACCTTCACATATTCCAGTGTTAACAGATCTTCCAAGGTGTTATCCAGTGTTGTAATCAAATAAACTGGTTTCATATTTTCATCTAAAAATAATTTCTAAAATTATTATTTTATAGGAAAACAAATGCAGGCAATATTAATAATTATAAAATTGGAAAAGAAGGATTTCCTCTATCAGCTCTGAGCCTTGATTTCTATATTACCCAAGCCCCACCTCCTTTACTTTCAACTCAAAAAATGTTTTCTTCTCACAATTCTCTTCCCTTCTCTTATGCCACAATGCTGAAGATGCTAATCCTTCTAAACCTAGATAGGAAGTAAGGTAAGAAAAAGTAGCAATTAGTTAAAGAAAAAACAGAATGGTTATTAGGAGCAATGAAAGGACATGAAGAGATTCTGGCTCTGAGCCACAGAAATAGCTAGAAAGAAAAGTGTCAGAATCTCTGAAAACTTAACTGTAGAGAAAACACATCAAGTATTTGATGAGAAATTACGCTTTTTGGTATATCAGTTTAGACTAAAACAAGGTCAATTGCCTTATTATCAGTCTTTACTAGTTGTGTTGTTGCTTCTGCTCAAAATCTAAGAAAATAATTGAGGAACCTGCTGTAGAAAAGTATTTTGTATAAAGTCTTTATTACTATCATCACCAAATTCCTTAAGGCTGCTAGAAATCAGTAATTAGACACTGGAAGAAAGGACTATAAACCAATCATACTCTCGAGAAAAAAAATGCAACATATTTCCACCAAATCCCTCAGATTCAAAAGCTTATTAGCACTTTAGCTAGCCTTCTACTGCAGATACTAATCACATTTCAATCCTTAAGAAGGTCCCCACTTTTTTCACACATTTGTTCGTTCACTGAATAACTACTGATCATTTACTTTGTGTAAGATACTGTACTATTCATTCACTTCTTCCTATTCCTTCTAAGAAAACAGAAGCAAATACATTACAGAAATGGGTGAACTGATAATTGTATATCCTGAATTATGTGTGCAAAGGTTTTCTAATCCTTTGCTCTTGGGAAAACAAAATTAGATTTAGAAAAATTGGATTTAGAAAAAAACAGAAATATTAACAACTGCTGTAATACTTTTGGATTACTGGAGAACACTATCAAACTGGTTCACTTTTCTTTCAAATCACCAGAGTAAACTTTCTTGATATAAGGAGCGTAAGAAAGCAGAACTCTGTATCCTGTAGGTATGGTAATTTTTTCAGGAAGAGATAACACAATCCACCACGTGCAAATTCTCAATGGCTACAGAACAAGGATAGAGTATGGAACTATAATGTATAAATCATGTCCTATCACTGAGTTTTCAGGCCACAACACTTAATTTGCTTCCCAAAATACAAAAATCACATTTAATCCAGGGCTGGCAAGAAAGGGGAAATTTTCATTACACCAGTTAACTGACATCATTTGCCTAGGAATGAGTTCCCAGAGAAGATGGCTTTCTCAAATCCTTGGGATGTATATAAGCATACTCCTTACCTTTCTTATCCCCATAGATAGTTCATTTTTACTTTAGTTCTCTAACTTCGTTACTTACAGTATCTCAGATGAGTAGGGAAAAAATTCATAAATGAGTTTAAAGGATTTCACAGGACAGTTTCCATTTAAACTTAACTTAAAAACATTAAAAAGTCAACCATTAAAAGAACATCGGATTCCAGGACAGCCAAGAGTAAAGTACTTTTATACACATGTAAATAGAACACATTTATGTGGTCTCAATAACAAAGGTAAAGCCCTACTAACTTTAAGAAAAAAAATTTTAAAGCCAACTGTATCAATAATCACTTTGACCATCAAGGATCTAATTGCACCAATTAAAAGACAAAGATTGCCGAAGTGAATCAAAGAAACAAGACTCAAGTAATACTGTCTACAGGAAACCCACTTTAAATATAAAACTACTTTTAATGAAAGTAGACAGAGGAAAATATATTATGTTAACACATAAGAAAAAAGCAGGGATAGCTATATTAATTTTGAGACAGCAGACTTCAAAGCAAGGATTAGTTATCAGGAATAAAGAAAGGTATTATGTAATGATAAAGGGGTCAATTCTCCATTAGGACACAACAATCCTTAAGGTGTATTTATCTAAAAATGGAGAGCAAAAAAAATGGTAACACTGTAAGGAGAAACAGACAAACCCATTACCATATTACAACACTTCACACCCTTCTATCAGAAATGAACTGATCCAGCAGACAAAAAATCAGTAAGGACACAGAACATCATCAAGCTACTGGATGTAATGAACATGTACCAAATGCTTCATCCAACAAGAGCAGAATATTCCTTCTTCTTGAGCTCACATAAAATATTAACCAAGATCAACCACATCTGAACCTTTAAACACACATTAACAAATTTTCTAAAATGGAAATCATATGATGTCTGCACTCAGACCACAACAGAATTAAAACAGAAATCAGTAACAAATATGGTTGGAATATTCCAAAATATTTGGAGAAAAAAATCATAATACTTCTAAATAACACATGGGTCAAAGAAGAAGGCTCGAAGGAAGAACTAAAACACATTTCGAACTAAATGAAAATGAAAACAACTAATCAAAATTTGTGGCCCACAATGAACACTGTACTTAAAGGGAAATATATAACACTGAATACATATACTAGAAAAGAATATCTATAATCAAGAATCTATGCTTCCACATCTTAGAAAACTAGAAAAAGAGGAACAAAATAAATACAAAGTAAGCAACAGTAAATAAATAATAAAAATTAGATTAGAAGCCAATGAAATTAAAAGTAAGAAATAATTAGAGAAAATCGAAGAAACTGAAGTGGTTCTTTGAAAAAAATCAACAAAAAGTTATATATCTAGCAAGGCTAACTAGAGGAGAAAAAAAAGAACACAAATTATTAATACCAGCAGTGAAAGAGAGGACATCACTATAGGTATCATGAACATTAAAAGAATAAAGAAATACTATTATCAACTCTGCCCACCAATTTGATAACAACCTTTTACCTCCTTGGTTAAATTAACTCTGAGGTATTTTATTCTTTCTGATGCAATTGTAAATGGCACTGTTTTCTTTATTTCTCTTCTGATACTTTGTAACTCATGTATAGAAATACAACAACAACAAAAGAAATATAATCAATTCTTCTATGTTGATTTTGTATCCCGCAACTTTCATGAATTCATTTATTAGTTCTAATAGTTTTTTGGCGGAATCTTTGGAGTTTTTGTACATATAATATCACATCTTCTGCAAATAGTGATAGTTTTACTAGTGGGTCAATTAATAAATCAAAAGAAAAGAAAAATATACCCTGAGACAAATAAAATGGGACCACAACATACCAAAATGTATGGGATGCAGCAAAAGCAGTTCTAAGAGAGAAGAGCACAGATATCTACCTCAAGAAAAATCTCACGTCAATAACCTGATTTTACACATCAAGGAACTAGAAAAAAGAATAAAATTCAAAGTTAGAAGAAGTAAAAACTAACAAACAGCAGAGATAAATGAAATAGAAACTAAGAAAACAATAGAAAAGATCAAAGAAACTGAAGAGTTGGTTCTTCGAAAAGATAAACAAAACTTACAAAACTTTAGCTAGACTCACTGAAAGAGGGCTCAAATAAATACAATTATGAAAAAGGAGACATGACAACTGATACCACAGAAATATAAAGGATCATAGAAAATTATTACAGATATTTGCATGTTAACAAACTGGACAACCTAGTAGAAATGGATAAATCCCTAGAAACATACAACCTTTCAAGACCGAATCATCAACAAATAGAAAGCCTAAATAGAGCAATAACTCATAAGGAGATTGAATCAAAGGCTCCCAACAGCAACAAAAAAGTCAGGAACAGATGGCTTCACAGATTAATTCTATCCAACATTTGAAAAGAACTAATACCAATCCTTCTGAAACTCTTCTTAAAAAAAAAAGAAGAAGAAGAGGAAACACTTCCAAACTCATTTTACGAGGTCAGCATTACCCTGATACCAAAACTAGACAAAGACACCACAAGAAAAGAAAATTACAGGCCAATATCCCTGATGAATACAGACGCAAAAATCTTCAACAAAATACTGCAAATCAAGTTCAACCATACATTAAAAGTCTCAAGCGTCATGATATAGTGGGATTTGTTCCAAGGATACAAGTATGGTTCAATATCCACAAATCAGTCAACATAATACACCACTTTAACAAAATGAAGGACAAAAACAACATGATCATCTCACAGATACAGAAAAAGCATCTGACAAAATTCAACATCCATTTAGTATAAAATCTTTCTACAAAGTGGGTATAGAGGGAACGTTATCTCAGCATAATAAACGCCATATATGACAAGCCCACAGCTAACCTATTACTCAACAGTGAAAAGCTGAAAGCTTTTCCTTTAAGATCAGGAACAAAACAAAGATGCCTACACTTTCCACTTTTATTTAATGTAGTTATTGAAGTCCTAGACAGAGAAATTAGTCAAGAAAAAGAAATAAGAACTACCCAAATTGGAAGTGAATAGTCTGTCTTAACGTTTTGATGGAATTGATGAAGCATTCAGAATTATGTTTTAAGGAAAAACCCCAAAATGTAAAGGAGGAAACAAAAATAATGTGCTTCTAAATGCCTGCCTCAGCAAACAGAAATATTTTCTAAGATATCATATAATTTATATGTTATGATTTGGGATATAAATTGTTTGTGGTAGGCAGAATAATTACTGCTCCCACAATGATGTCCGTGTTCTAATCCCCCAAAACCTGAGACTATGTTATCTCATACAGCAAATGGAACACTGCAGAGGTGATTAAGGTTAGGATTAATGGGAAATTATCCTGGATTGTCCAAATGCACCTAATCTAATTACTTTAGTTTTTGAGAGTGGAAGCAAAAGGCAGAAGAAAGGTTATAGAGATTATAGCACAAGAAGGATCTAACACCTCATAATGGTTCTGTGATATAAAAAACTATGTGCAAGGACATAGGCCTATAGGAGGCTAAGACCAGCCCTTATCTTACAGACAGCAAGAAAACAGACTTAAACCATATAGAAATGAATTTTGCCAACATCTTAGTGAGCAAGAAAACAGATGTCCCCTACAGCTTCCAAAAAGGAAGTCTTGCTGACACCTTTATTTTTGCCTGTTAATACTTGTGTCAGACATCTGATCTACAGGTTAAAATAAATTTGTGGTAAACTGTTACAATATTAATAGGAAACAAATTGAGTATTTTAGTATTCAGTAGATTTAAAGTTAAACCATGACTATTTTATTTTCCTTAATGAGAAAAATTATCCTTATTTTCTCTCTGGTGTACCCCCAGATTCCAAAGTACAATATGAAAGGTAAAGATTAACTCATAATATTTCTTTGAGACTATTTTATCAAATGTACTGACTAAAAGCCTAGAGAATTTAAGACTCTCTAGAAGGTAATCAAACAATAAATTTAATTTATTTTTTAAAACAGATTCTTACCGAAGTATTCTGGGCATTTTAAGCAGACCTCTTTCAAAAAGGCATTTGCTTTCAAATCAAATGTTCTAAACTCAATGTCTGTGCCCAATCCTAAGACATTAATTTCTACCACAGGTAGTTCACAATCTCCAACAAGTTGACAAAATTGAATCAAAACCTGTAGAAGAAAGAAAAAAGAAACTACCACTACCTAAAACAAAAAAATGCATATGGAGATGGTGGTTATATATGGGTATGTGAGGTATACATAGGATATGAGTGATATGTACTTAAAATTTACGATAGATTTTTATACACACACATATACAATAAACTTACATTGTACAAGTAATTATTTTCAATAAATATATACTGAATAACCACAATACACTTAAACCCTTAATTCTTGATGAAGTAAATTAGTCTTCAAAGAGGAAGGAGAACCAGAAAGCAATGTCTGGATTCAGCATTTTAAAGAGCCGTGAATAGTAAAAAAAAATGACCAACAATTTAAATAAGCCATATTAATTTTACCATGAAACATACAATACATACCTCTGGCACTTCAAATCTTATTTTATACTCAATCATATTTTTTGAACAGTATGGCTTTTTCTGTTGAGGACTTTCAACTCCAGTTGGAGATTGAAGAGGCTCTTCCAAGGGACTACATACTGCATCAAAAAACTCCTCCTCTGAATCTAAATATCACAGAACATTTTTAAAGTCAATAATCAAAATGACTAATTTAACAATAACATTTTAGTATTTTTTTCTAAAATAAATGTGAACACTAAAACACTATTTCAAAAAACTGAATGTAAGGATGAGAAAATAAATGGAAAAGAATACAGAGACTACATCTGAAAAAATAACACTCGATGACAAAAAGGAAGTATGGAAACATCACAAATTGCAATCTTTAGCTTAATGAACATCACCTTTAAAATCTCACTAGTCTAAAAACTGGTAAAAAAACTGTAAATTTTATAGCAAATGCAAATACTGATTATTACATACATAATGAATACTTTAAGGAACACACTAATAGGCTCTTTCTATGTGGAAAGCAAAATAGGACTTAGTTATAAACTCTGCGGTCTTAAAAGTGAACGTAGGCCCTGAAATTTGAATGGAGAAACTGAGATCAAGAACTACTTCACATATGCATGAATATATATATGAGAAATTTCTTGAACATGCTATTAAAAAGGACTCAAAATCTAGTGAAACAATTACAGGAAGCTTTAAAGGAAACTAAAACCATTTGAAGTATATCCCTATGAACTAAGACTGAATTTAGGGTCGATGATCTCACAAGTATTTCATTCTGCTCATTCACCCTAGTCAGTACACAGAAAGGAAAACATTCTCTAGAAAACTGAGGATCAACATAGCAATTTCTGTTATTTAACATTCAGCAACTTTAGAAGTCTTAAAAATAGAAAAATACTTTTATTTTCCTTTCTAATGTGGCTAACAAAAAACATATATTTGACAACAAAATATTTACCAGTTTTCACATGTTAATAAAAGGTATTAAGGCTTGATTTTTTTCCCTTTAATAACAAAAAAGGAAATATAAAAAATAAAAGAAAAAACTTACTATAATGAAGACCTCCCAAAGCTAACACATTATAAATTCTACACTTATGTTTCTTGGGTCTTTTAGATCACAATAGGATAAAGATGATTAGCTTACTAGTGGTTCTTGTGATTATGGGTTCAATTTCTATATACCAAAAAAAATCCCACTGCAAAAGAAACTTTAAGAAACATCCAAATTATATTGTTTAAAAGGAATTTTAGTGAAATTTTCTGCATAATATGCAAATATGTACTATTGCCTGAAATTTTTTATGTGGTCTCAAAAAGAAAACAATTTTAATAATGTACTTATAATAAGGAAAATTTCCTAAAGTAGTTTCATTTTACCATCATCAACACACGGAATTTCCAAGAGAGGAAACATTTTCTGTGAAATCTGGGATGTTCCCAAAGAAGTGGATCTTTCAATCTGGAAGAAAAGTTAATTTACTGTCAATTACAGAAAGACTTTTATTCTGAGTTCTAAGACAATTTTGACAACACATATTCATTCAATCTGAATTAGCTGGAAAAAAATCCAGTCTGAATTAGAAAAGTAATTTGTAAAATACAGACTTAAAGTGCTTTTACAATTTCAAGGCTAAATATAAATTGCAGAACTGTTATAATCATTTCCTTGCTGACAGACTTTGCGTAGGCAGAGATCTTAGATATACCTTAGTATCTTACTAAATAAGGAAGCCACCTCTAGGGCATCCATGCAAAACCACCAAAAGTCTCAAAAGTTGGGGAGCTTGCAGTTCCATCTTTAGCTTCTAAAAGATATTTTAGTAGATTTACTTTTTTACTGTTCTGGGAAATATAGCATAAAAAAACATATAAAGCAGTTCAAAATGATAATAATAAAAGACAGCCCTGAATCTTTCATCCAGGCCAAGAAACAATATAGTACCATACCCTTACCTTGAAGCATCTTATAAGCTTCCTTTCTTGATCCCATTCCCTAAAACAGATTTACTTTTATTTACTTGTTTATAACCTCCTATGACTGATTCTGTAATACATAGTTTAACCCATTTCTTTCTAAACATAGAAAAAGGCAATAATATTGTACATATTTTCCTGTGACCTTTTTCTATGAAATAACCTTTAAATTTTATCCGTTATGATAGTTTACTCATTCTCACTGCTATACTGTACTGCACTGATGAATAAACCACTGCTTACTTGTCCATTACACCATTGGTAACTATTTGTATTGTTTACAGATTTTTGCTTTTACTTACACTGTCACTGAAGCATCCCTGAACATAAGGGTTTATATGCAAGATTTTCCATGGTGCATACTATTAAAAACTGGAATTTCACATGTTCACCTTAGTGAGTACTATCAACATGTTTTCACAAGTATTTGCAACACATTACACTATGTCAGCAGATGAGAGTTTGTATGGCTCCACTTCCTCATGAATGCTAGTGTTTTCAGACATTTTAAATGTTGCCAATCTCACTGGCAATTTCGCCCTAGTTTTAATTAGAATTTCACAAATATATAATAGTTACACATCATTATCATAAGTTCATGGGTTGTGTTTGTCTTTGAATCCTATTCATTTTGGTGAAACATTTTTATTGAAATATAACCTGCTACACATGAGTTATGTAACTGTAAGTATAAATAAAATTAAATTTCAAAAAGAAAACACACCCATGCACCCAAAATCCAGGCATGGACCATTACCAGCAACTCAGAAGCCTCTCTCATGCTCCCCAATCATTAAACATACCTACAAGAAAGTAACAACCATAATGCCCCAATTTCAATTTTTAATGTTCTGAAACTTTTTACACTACATTCATCAAAGAGCAATTTTGGTTTTTATTTTCCTGATGAGTAATAAAACTGAATACCTTTTTATATGTTTGTTCACTTCTTATTGGATTCTTGGTCTCCTTATATATTTTGGATAGTCTTTTTTTAAGTTGTATGTGTTGCAAACATTTTTCCCAATTGGATGGTTTGCCTTTTGCATTTTTAACAGTATCTTTGAAAAGGCAGAAAATTTTAATTTCCATAAAGTGTATTTTTTTTTCTTTTGTATTTGTGCTTTTTTATCCCAAGGTATATTTAGCCACCACAGGACTCAAAGATTTTCTTCTATATTTTTTTGTTAAAGAAATTTTATACCTTTGGACATTTATATTTAAGTCTATGTTCCATTTCAAGTTAAATTCCATGTATAACATATGGATTGATATTCACTTTTTCCCCACATGGAAATCTAATTATTTCAGAACCATTTGTTGAAAAGACTATCCTACCCCTACTTAATTGCATTAGCACCTTTGTAAGAAATCAAATATATATTAACCATCTATTATACTGTGGATTTATTTCTGGATTCTATTCACTTTAGTTATCTTTACATCTATTCTTATGCCAATACAACACTTTCTTCAATGAAACAGCTATAAAAAAATTAGCTTTGAAATCAAGTATTAGAAATTCCCAAACATAATTCTTACCCCCCAAAATTTTGGCTAATATGTGTCCTTTCCATTTCCATATTATAATAAGCTTGCTGACTTTCAGGAGAAAAATCTGGTATTTTGACTGGGATTGTAAGAATCTATAGTTTTGAAAGAACTGTCATTTTAATACAGTCAGGCCTCCAATCCTTAACTATGTATATCATTCCATTTATTTAAGTCTTCTTTAATATTTTTCAGAAATGTTCTGCAGTTTTAGGTATATAGTTCTTGTATTTAGTGAAAATTCTAAGCATTTAACTTTTTTTAATGCTATTATGAATGGAATATTTTTCTTAGTTTAATTTTGAGAAACAACTTATTATTTACATTGATGACGTATCCTGCAACCTTGACAAATTCACTGTTACTAGTGGTATTTTTCTATATTCCATCAGACTTTCTCCACAGATGATCATGTTATCTTTAAATATAGTGTTACTTTTTCTTTTCCATCTTGTCTTTATTTTTCTTGAGTTATTGCAGAGGCTTCAGTATGAACTGGAATAGAAGCAGTGAAAAAAGGCATCCTTGCACTATTATTGATCTTAGGGGAAAGAATTCAATCTTTTTCCAATTAGGTATGATATTAGCTGTAGGTTTTTCCTAGACTGATGGGGTCCCTTACATTTCTAGTTTGTTAACAGTTTTTTATCATGAATCATTGTTGGATTTCATCAATGCTTTCTCCGTTTCTTTGAGATGATCATACATCAATGAATGTGGCTAATAGCACTGGCTGGTGAACCATTTTTGCTTTCCTAGGGTAAATGTATTTGGTATTTTAGAGTATTATACTATATTGCTTTTAAAAATATACTACTGGTTGTAATATTTGTTAAGTATTTTTAAATGTTAATAAATATGTAAGTCTGTAATTTTCTCATAATTTCTTTATCTGGTTAAACAGAAGAATAACATATGCAAAGAAACAACGTGGCCTATGCACAGAGGAAATTAGCAGAAACAAAACCAAAAGTTAGTTCTTTGAAAAAAATCAACAAAACTGAAAAACCTTCAACTAGACTAAGACAAAATGAAAAGACATAAGTAACTAAAACCATGAATCAAATTGAAGTCATTACAACCAACCTTACAGAAATAAAAAATTATAAAGAATACTGTTTAAAATTGTAGGCCCACAAACTGGATAAGTTACATGAAATGGACAAATTCCTAGAAAGATCTGAATTACCTTAACTGACTTAGGAAGAAACAGAAACTCTGAACAGGCTTATAACAGGATATTGAATCAGCAATCAAAATTCTCCCAAGAAAGAAAAGTCAGAAGGCTTCAGTGGAGAATTCTACCACCATTTAATGAAGAATTAAAAACTTTCCTTCTCAAACTCTTCAAATAAATGGAAAAGAATACCCCAACTCAGTCTCTTAGGCCTCATAACAAAGCCAAGCAAATACACTACATACATACACACACACACACACCCCTAGTGACTAATATAACTTACAAATGCAAAAATCCTCTACAAAATACTAGTAACCAAATCCAAAAGCCTATTAAAAGGATCATATACCATAACCAAATGCAATGTATCCAGGAAAGCAAGGGTAACTCAATGTAAAAAAAAAAAATTATAATAAAACATCACAATAGAAAGAGAAAAGCCAACATGATATTCAACTGAGGCAGAAAAAGTATCTGACAAAATTTACCACCATTTCATGATAAAAATACAGAAAAATCTGCATACAGAGAAGAACTTCCTCAACATGGTAATGAGCATTTATGAAAACTCAAAGCTATTTCATCATATTTAATGATGAAAAATTGAAAGCTTTCCCACTAAGATCAGAAAAAAGACAAGAATACTCTCTTTTACAATGCTATCCCATACTTACTGAAGTTCTAGCCAGAGCAATTATTTAAGGAAAAGTAATAAAGGCTTCCAAATTGAAAGAAATACAATTTTATCTATTCTCAGATGACGTACTCCTACATAGAGAAAATCCTACAGAATTCACAAAAGCAAAACAAAAACTACTAATGATAAAAAATTAATTCATCAAAGTCATAGGGTATCAGATTAACATATAACTCAGCTGTATTTTGCTGTACCAGCAATGAATGATCCAAAAGGGAAAATTTAGGAATTAATTTCTTTTATAATAGCATCAAAAATAATAAACTATATAGGAAAGCTATTAATCAAGGAACTGAAAAACATGTACACTGAAAACTACACCACATTTCTAAAAGAAATCAAAGATATAAGCTAATGAATGAATGGCAAGACATCCCGTGTTCACAGACTGGAAGACAATATTTTAACATGGAAACACTAACCAAAGTGATCCACAGATTCGATGTAATCTCAATCAAAATGCCAACTGCATTTTTTGCAGAAATGGAAAGGATAATCCACAAATTCATATGAAACTGCAAAGTGCCTGAATAACTAAAACAATCATGATATAGAAGGACAAAATCAGTGGACTCACAATTACCAGTATCAAAACTTAGTACAGAGCTTAAGCAATTGAAACAGTATGGCACTGGCATAAGGACAGACATATTCATTGACCAATGGAACAGAACTGAGAGTCCAGATATATATCTAAACAACTATGACCTACTGATTTTTACTAATGGTGCCAACTCCACTCAAGGAAGAAAGAATAGTCTTTTTTAACAAATAACACAGAGAAATTTGTTAAAATATAGTTGATATTTCAACGTGAAAAAAATGTTTAGTACCTTACCTCACACTGTATACAAAAATTTACTCAAAATGGATCAACAACCTAAATATAAGAGCTAAAAACATGCAAGTATAGAAGAAAAGGGGGATAAATCTGTATGATCTTGAATTTGGAAACATTCTTAAATATGACATCAAGCAACAAAAGTATATGAGCAAAAAAAGAAATAAATTGACCTCAAAATTGAAAAGTTTTGAACATCAAAGGATATCATTAAGAAAGGGAAATGGCAACTCAAAGAATGAAAGAAAATTTTAGCAAATCATATATCTGATAGTAGTGATTATCCAGAATATATAAAAACTTACAACTCAACAACAAAAAGAAAACATTCAACTGAAATATGGACAAAGGACTGGGAAAGACATTTCACCAAGGCTCATTTCACATTTTTTGAAAAAGTGGCCAGCAAGCATTTGAAAAGATGTTCAACATTATTAGTCATTAGTGAAATGCAAATCAGAACCCACAATTTGATGTCCCTTCATATCGATTAGGACGGCTATAACAGAAAAAGGGAAAGTAACAACTGTTGATGAGGATGTTGATAAATTGGAACACTCATGCATTGCTAGTGTGAATATAAAATTAAACAGCTGCTATGGAGAACAGTTTTGTGCTTCCTCTAGTCTAGTGGTTTTATATTAAACACAGAATTATCAAATGACCTAGCAATTACACTCCTACATATATATATATATATATATATATATATACATACTCCTACATATATCTATATATATATACTCCTACATATATCTCTCTCTATATATCTCCAAAAGAAAATAAAACAAGGATGCAAACAAGTACTCACATACAAACGTCCACAGCAATACTATTCATAATAGGTAAAAGGTGAAAAGAATCTAAATGTCCATCAATTCATGAATGGAAAAACAATGTGGCACTTAAGCCACATATATGCCACATTTTGTATATTTATATTCTACTTCATATATTTCTATCCACAAAAAATATTCCATTTTATACACACACACACACACACACATAAAGGAATGAAATACTAACACATGCTACAAGATAGATAAACCCAACCTCAAAAAGATTATGCTACGTAAAAGAAGCCAGACACAAAAGTTCACATATTGTACTATTCTACTGATACAAAACATCCATAATAGGTAAATCCATAGGAAAAAAAAGCAGACTGGTGGATGCTAAGGGCTTGTGGAGTGGAAGGTGAATAGAAAATGATTACTTAACAGATGCAGGATTTTCTTTTAGGATGATGGAAATGTTTTAGTACTAGGTTGCACATTACTGTGAATAAAACTAAACTCAACTGAACTGCACTTTGAAATAGTAAATTTAATGTTATGTGAATTTCACCTCAATTTTTAAAAATTAATTAGAAAATAGAATTCTACAAAAACGAAAAAGCTAGAATGACTATTATTATCAGACTTCAGAAATAGCAATATCACTAAAAATAATCAGAGATTTAAAGTGAAAAAGGAATATAGCAAGGCAAAGTAACAATTCTAATACATGCATACTCAATAAAAAAACTTTAAAATACATGAGGTAAAAACTGACAAAAATAAAAGGAGAGTAGACAGATTCACAATTATAATTATAATTAAGATATGATAGTTAACTAGATAGGGGAAATCCTTTCACCATGTACACATATATCAAGTCATCACAATGTACATGTTAAATATTTTAGTTTTATTCGTCAGTTATACCTCAGTAAAGCTGAAATAATTTTTTTAAAAATCTATTACAGAAAGTGAAAAGGGAAATCTAGCTTCAAGAGAGATTCAGATGTTAGAAGTTTTAAGACCTGTGACTGAAACTTTGAGACAAGGCAAAGAAGCATCCATGAAGGGGTGGTTCTTTGCTTACAAAATTTTTTTTGATCTAACCTATAAAACCACTTCAAGCTAAATAAAAATTCTTAGTAAAGATCTACTGTTTTCTATTAAACTTTCTTGGAAAAAGTAGAAAACAGAGTCCTTGCAGATTAAGAAGTCACCTACACAAAAAGTAGCATGATAAAAGCAGGCGGAACATCAGCTGTAAAAATGTAGATTTATTTAAAGGGAGGGGAAAAAAACATGAATTCAAATTTGGCTTAGCAAGCTACAAGATACATGATCTTAGACAAAGTATATAATCTCTCTAAGAATCTGTTTCCTAGTCAAAATAATGACCGTAACACCTAACTTGCTGCATTGTGAAAAGGATTAAAGATAAAAATATGCAAAAATCTAGAGTATATAAACAATACATACCCTTGTATAGATATAAATATAGATAGAGAATATAAATAATAGATACCCTTACAGAGAAATCCTTTGTCAAATGTGTGGCCTGGCACATAACAGAAACTCAGTATGAGCAGACATATTACACAGCTATTCTCTGTCTATTCTTATACCTGCATTTGATTTTTAAAAGGAACATGATCTAATGTAGATCACGTGTTTGAAACCCTCTTGATATACAGAGATTAAGCCCAGAGTGGGAGGAAAAGTCCTCTTAGGCATTGCTAATGATAACTAAGAGAAAACCTAACAGTCACACAAGTACTTTTTATAAAACTTGCAAAAACTTAGAAAGAAATTTAAAAGTGTAAAGGGCAACATACAGTAAACCAGAAATGACTTAGAGGCACAGCCAGCATAGCATAAAGCTAGTGGGAGAAGCAGATTTAAGACTGTCACAAAAATTCTCCTTAGCATCTATAGAAAAGGATTAAAGAAAACAAAAAAACACTTGCCACATATATAGGATGGTATGGTATCAGTGAAAGAACAGACACAGACCCAGAAATCACTGGAGAAGAAGAGAGTCAGAAACAGACTCAACTCAATGGAGAAAGAAATTCTTTTCAACAAGTGAAACCGAAATAGCCAGGAATACAAATGTAAAGATAGTATGATCGCTCATCATGTGCACCTTTTAAAAAAATTAACATGAAATGTTTCACAGACCTTAACATAAAACCTAAAACTATAAGAGTTCTAGAATAAAAAATAGGAGAAAATCTTTCTGACCTTGTGTCAGGCAGAGATTTCAGAGATCTGACATAAAAAGCTTCTTCCATAAGAGAAAATACTAATAAACTAGATTTCATCAAAATTTAAACCTCTGCTGTTCAGAGAGACTGTTAAGATAATAAAAAGCTCAAAGGACTATGCAAAATACTGCATAACAATATGAATAAAATATTGCAAAACAAACTGTTCAAGGTAGTAGCACAACATGTCAGCAACTCACTCTCAAATGGTTCGAGGAAAAGTTATTTGCATTATTTTTACAATTTTCTGTAAGTTTAAAATTGTTCCAAAAGAAAAAAGTTAAACATGAAAAGAGAAATCAAAATTGACAAAGAGAAAAATATGTATGAATGAATATTTTCTTTTTTGAAACTGTGTTGGTAAGAGGCACAAAACCCAGAAATCATAAAGGAAAAATCTAGTAATTTTGACTATGTAAAAAGCAAAAGCTTTGCCATGGCAAAAATAAATGTATCAGATGAAAAAACAAATTTGGGGAAAAAGTATTTGTATTAACAAATTATAATCCCCTTAACTGGAAAACCATAACCCAAAAGACCTAAATAGTATTTTCAAAAACAAATTTAAATAACCAATAAGTTTAGGAAATAAGTCCTATCTTATAAAGAACTGCAAACCAAAACCAGAAGATAAAATTTTTTCATTTAACAGAATCAATTTTAACATTTGTTGATACTCAAGACTAACAAGAACAGAGAAACAAATTTACTGTTGGTAGGACTAAATAATTAGAACTCAATTTAGAAAGGAAACTTGGCAAAATTCATAAAAATATAAAATTCACTGTAAGTTAGGAAAAGGATGGTACACTCATACAATTCAATACTGTATCACCATAAAAAAGAAAATGGCAGATCTATGTGCTAACAGGTAAATATCTCTAAGGTACATAACATATATGATAATAATGGTGAAAAGAATACAGATTCAAAACAATAAGCATAATGATCCCATATATGTAAATTTTAAGAACATAAGAATATATAGAAACACATACATACATGCACGCCACACACAGACACGCATGTTTCTGTGTGTGTACTAGTATCAGTTACAAACATTTCAGAAAACTCAAGAAGAAGTAGTTAACCACCGAAGAGAGACTGGAGGCTGGAGAAGTGAAGAAAGGTAGTAGACTTATCATTTCATACTTTACTATTTACACTTTTTACAATTTCATCATTTTCTCTTTTAAAGTGCAATTTTAAAAGTCTATTCAAAATGAATTAAATTGTTTCACCCAAAATTTCTGTGTTTTTTACAAATATTTGTGGAATTTCTTTTTTAATTCATGCTTTCATTAATTTTGAAAATATATTACCTGAAATGGCTTGACAGGGGCACTGACTTCAGTTGCAGGTGGGGGTTTTGGGATGCTTTCAATCAATTCCAAAATCCCTTGCAGTTTTTCATCCGAGATTCTTAAAGAAATCAGTGGTAAGTTCCCAAAAATCTTGAATCTGTTTCAAAAGGACAGAAATCATTATAAAAAGATAACTGTTCACCTTTAATTATCCAAAAATAATCAAAAGTGATTTTAGGTACTAAAAATTATCTACACTGTCCATGGGACAAATTATCCCACAATCTACACCGAAATTCCCATAATTTTACTTTACTGACTAGTCTCATTAGATGAACTAATGTCATTATTTTTCAAGATTTTTTTCTATTGTTACTATGTTTATTATCCCTCCATTATTTTGCCACTGCTAGCTGACAGTTATATTTATCAAGTGTTTATTACAGATAAGCATTAAGGAAAGCACTTGATGTGTATTATCAGAAATAATTCTCACAACCTATGAGGCAGACGACTTATTTCTGCTCCCTACTTCTTGTAAATTTCCAAGTGTACATGTTTCCTATTGGGAAACTAAGGTTGGCAAGCAAAGATAACTTGTCCATGAGAGTACATACTTAAAACCATGTTTAAAGATCAGATCTGACTGAAAAACCACATAATTATATTAATAGATGCATGTAACAAAATCTAACACCTATTTATGGTAAGAACTCTCAGTAAACTAAAGGAGAACTTCCAAACTTGGTAACAAGTATCTTTGAAAAATCTACAACTAATATCATACATAATAGTGAGAAACTCGAAGTATTTTTCCACCAAGATTAGATGCAAAGCAAAGACGTCCCTCTCTTCACTCCTTTTCAACATCTCACTGGAAGTCCTTACCAGTGCAGTAAGGCAAGAAAATAAAATAAAAAGTATACAGATTGGTAAAGAAGAAATAAAACTCTTTGTTCACAGATGACATGATCATTTATGTAGACTATCTGAAAAAAAGTTCCTGAAAATAATAAGCCAATACAGGAAGGTTGCAGGATATAAGGTTACTATAGAATAGTGAATCACTTTCCTATATACCAACAATGGACAAGTGTAATCTAAAATTAAAAATACAATACCATTATATTAGCACCCAAGAACATAATGCTTAGGTATAAATCCCCTTTTGGGGGGCATTCATATTGTTATGAGTGTTCTTAGTTTTAGTTATAAGAAAACAGCTGCTTTGAACTTCCTTATACATATATTTGGGTATATTTTTAGCCACTGGATACATTTCTAGAAGTGGAATTGTTGAGTAAAATAAATATAACAAATCTAACAAAACAAACACAAGATCCATGTGAGGAAAACTGCAAAACTCAAATGAACGAAATAAAAAAAAAAGAACTAAATAAATGAAGACATATTCTACATTCACAGACAGGAAGAGTCGATGTTGTCAAGATGTCAGTTTTTCCTAAACTGATCCATAGATTCAATGCAATCACAATCAAAATTCCAGCAAGTTACTTAATGGATATTGACAAGATGTTTCTAAAGTTCATATTGAGAGGCAAAAGACTCAGAATAGCCAACATAATATTGAAGAAGAGCAAGGCTGGAGGATTGACACTTCCTGACTCAAGACTTACTATAAAGCTACAGTAAGCAAGATACTGTGCTACTGGCAAAAGAATAGACAAATAGATCAACGGAACAGAACAATGGAACACAACAGAGAGTGCAGGAATAGACCTCCATAAAGATATAGTCTACTGAGTCTTTGACAAAGGAGCAAAGGCACTATAATGGAGCAAAGACATTCTCTTCAACAATGGTGCTAAAATAAATGAACATCCACAAGCAAAAAAACTGATTTAGACATAGACCTTACACTCTTCACGAAAGCTAATTCAAAATGGATCGTAGACCTAAATTTAAAATGCAACACTATAAAAGTCCAAAAAGAGAAAAAAACACTTAGATGACTTTTTAAGATACTTTTTACGTACCACACAAAAGCACAATTATTGGAAGAAATAATTGATAAGCTGGACTTCATTAAAATTAAAAACCTCTGCTCTACAAAAGACAATGTGTAAAAGAATTAGAAGACAAGCCAAAGAGTGGGAGAAAATATTTGCACTTATGAGATACTTCTCATAAAACACTGTTATCCAAAAATGTGCAAAAATTCTTAAAATTCAATAAGACAATCTGATTGAAAAATGGGCCAAAGATCTTAATGGACACCTCATCAAAGAAGATATACAGATAACAAATAAGCAAAGGTAATTCAATTATATATTATCAGGGAAATACAAATCAAAAGAAGAATAATGTTACCACTGCACATATACTTATAATAACCAAAATCAAGAATACTGACACCACCAAATAATGGAAAGGAACTCAACATCACTGCTGATGGAAACTCAAGACTACAGCCACTTTGGAAGACAGTTTGGCTGTTTCTTATAAAATGAAACATACTCTTATCAGCAGTTGTGCTCCTTGATATTCACCCAAAGGAATGTAAAGTTATGTCCCCACAAAAACCTGCATATGGATATTTATAACTGCTCTATTCATAATTTTACATGAATAAAGTTTATCCATAAAAATTTTACATTCCAATTTTACAGCTAAAACTTGGAAGCAACCCAAATGTCCTGTAGTAGGTGGTGGAAAAACAAACTGTGTTATATCAGACAATGGAATATTCTTCAGTGCCAAAAAGAAATGTGCTATCAAGTCCTGAAATGACATGGAGGAAGCTTAAATGCATGCTACTAAGTGAAAGATACCAACCTAAAAAACCTATATACACTATAATTCAAACTCTATGACATTCTGGAAAAGGCAACACTATGGACACTGGACAAAGATCAATGCTTGCTAGGGCTTGAGTTTGACAGGAGAGAGAGGAACAGAAGATTTTAGGGCAGTGTAAATACTCTATATGATATTCACTATTATGATACCATAATGACAGATACATGCCATGCATTTGTCCAAACCTATTTAATGTAAAACACCAAGGGTGAACCATAATGGGAACTGCAGACTTTGGGTAATTATGATGTGTCAATGTAGGTTTATCAATTCTAACAACTGTCCCACTCTGGTGGAGAATACTAATGGGGAAGGCTATGCATGGGTGGATGCAGGAGGTATATAGGAAATCTCTGCAGCTTTCTATCAGTTCTTCTGTGACTGCTGCAATATGAATAAAGTCTTTAAAAAGTAATAACAGTTTAAAATGAGACTGACATCAAAGAGACTAAGTTTTCATTCACCATTTTTATCCCTGCATTTTTAAGAAAACTTACTTTTTCAAATTCACACACTGACTGCTAAAAATATATCTGAACTCCTTGAGAAAATTATAAGCTTTATTTTACCTCCAATAGTCTAAATATCTGTAACTAATCTCATAACATCCTAATTTAACAGGTACATATTATCGATCAGTCTCATTAATGTACCCAAACTTCTTTTCAATTACTTTAAATATGCCAGTTGAACAACCTGAAGATGACAGATGTCAAAAATGCTACCTACCAAGTAATAGAGGACTTCCTTTTATTTGTCTTAAATTTTTTAAGCTCAAAATGCAAAGGAAGTTGCCTGATACTTACCGAGTTCCAGAATTTTACATGTATCATATTCACTTTATACTGCTTACAACTTACAAAACTGAAATCACATGCTTCTCAGATTTCATCTTTCTAAGTCATTATAGTTTCCACTTGTGATTATTTTAGGCACACTTCTCTGGTCCTAACTTGCAGACATTTAAGTATAATAAGAATATAAGTACAAATGGATTTTCTGGTCTCTTTTCCCTTTTATTGGTTATGCTTGGCTGTAATGCACTGAAACAGTTTGGCAAATTACGTCCATGGTTTAATCTAGCCGGTTTAATCCAGCCTGCTGCTTATTTTTGTAAATAAGTATTACCAGAATATAGCCATGCCCATTCACTGCACAGTGTTGATAGCTGCTTTCATGCTAAAACAGCATAGTTGGGTACTTGTGACAGGTAACTTCAAGGCTAAAATATCTACTGTCTGGCCCTTTACAGAAAAAGCTTGCTGACTGTTACACTGGATTAATCTCTTAGACTCTTGCATTCCTTTATCTATCTATATATAGACATTTTAATAAGCTATTTTAATTCCTGTTACTCTATACATATTCCCTGCATTGTAAGATATAAATTCTCCCTAGTCATATACTGATAGAGCAGCCTAAAGCAAAGTAAGTTAGCCATTTCTTTCCTCAGAGTATTACTACCTCCCTTTTTGTGGTACTCTAGGTACCCATCCTAGGTTCTAGCATACTTATCAGGTCAAAACAAAAGTAAACTATGCTGAAAAAAAAATTATTCATAATCACATGTTTACAATGAGAAATCACATACATCTTTGTCCTTCCTCATATACTGACAAACTTCACAAGAAGTATCAGTCAACAGTAAATAGGCAGGAGGACATTTGGGAAGGAATCTAAAAATCTAAGCCTTGTAGCTAAAATCAACCTGTATCTAAAGTTGGATTATAAAAAACAGCAAAACGTGTAGAATGCCTTTCTTTCCTTCTTTCTTAAACTAAATTCCTGGCAGCCCTCTGTCTTAAGAATCTCAGAGTCGCAGTTTGATTTTCTCAAATAAAGAAGTCTAAAAGAACGATACTGAGCAAACCGTACAATGTCTGCTAGTGAACTGGGTCACTATAATCTAAAAGGCCAAAAAGAAGCATGTAGGTTTCTCTTAGGTCTCTTGTTTTCACTTTGAAAAAATAGTTTAGTAGTATGAACCGGGTCCATACCACAGCACACAGAAGAAAGGCCAGAGTATCACTGCTTCCCCCATCCTTATTCCGATACTTTAGGCACAAAATCTACAGCACTACTATGTGAGCGTTGTCTTGTTCCCTCTCTAGTAACAATTCCCCTTAGACTCTTTGGTAGTTGTTAGAAATGTCTTTCTTTAAATTTTAAAATAGATTTGTGACTGAGGTTTGAAAATCTGTAAGGGAGAGAAAAATTACTGGTGTAAAAGGAAGCTGAAAGGGCTGGCTACAGTCTATTTAGAACTAAATCAGCAAAACAGTCCAGTCTAATTTAACAAACCTGTGTATTTATGATCCTAGGCTCAAAGTGTCAGTC